GGTTTCCTTCTTTTTCTTTGTTTCGTATTATTCTTTTATTAGGTTTATCTTCTTGTTTAAGTCTTTGGGGTTTACCATTTAGTAGTAATTGGTGTGCGATTTGATCGGGAGTGACGTTAGACAGTCCTTTCGCGCTAGTAGGATCACTGTTTAATCTTTTAATTAGGCCCCATGCCTTTTTACTACTATGTTTCATGTCTGTTTTATTTAAAAGCTCATGCCATTTATTCCTTTTTTCCTGTGCAATGGCATTCGTGAGCTCTTCCCCTTTATTTCTGGTTTGTTCTTCGAAGGGATTATTTTCAAACAGGTTGATATATGTGTTGTAATTGTCCGTGATTTCACTTGATAGTCCATGTATATGATGTGTCCTACATCCTCTTGGTATGTGTTTCCGGGATATGTATTTTACTTTTTCTACAAAGGATTCATAGTGTTCCGGTAGTGGTTCGAGATTTTCTATACTTGAATCGAGATCTTCTGAGAAAAGGTTCCACTTTGCTTTCATGAAGTTGTATCTCCTTTGGAATGGGACAATATTAGGTCTCACTGCAGCATCAATCTGGCAAATTATGGGCCTATGTTGTGTGTTTGGAATGGGGTCTCCCATCTTTTTGGTACATAGTTGACTGATAGAATCACTGACAAATATAAGGTCAGGGTTATATCCTTTCTTCCATCGACCGCTGTTGAAGGATGGAGGTAATTTGTTATCGTGAATCAGTACCATATCTTCGCCTTGTGCCCAGATTTCTACTGCTTCGCCATCATCGTTTGTCTCCTTATAGCCCCAGCTTGAACTGTGGCTGTTGAAATCACCTATGACTATGTTAGGTTTATGTTGTAGGCTGTCTTCGGATTTAAGACTAGGGGCTATGAAAGGAGAATTTGGTGGTTTATATATTGAAGAGACTGAGATGTTCGGTAAATGCACTGTGATAAATTCGATGTCGTTTTGTTCGTATATTTTAACTGACTGGATGATCATATTAGGTTTTGTGAAGATGGCACTACCGTGTTTTCTATGGTGCCTTATCGCTGCTAGTTTCATTCCAGATATACTTGGTGCATTAAGAGTCTGGTCTCGATGGGTCTCTTGGACGCACATAATATCGCATGATGTTGATTTAAAAATGGTAGATAGAAGTTCTTCCTTTACTCTCTTAATACCTTCGATGTTTATCGATACAATCGTCAATGCTGGCCCTGATAAGGGCCGTTTTAGGCGCGGTTTTTTATGACCTCCAGACATTGTTATTATACTGAGAGATAGGTTGCGCCTGGGTTTGGAAGAATTAGCCGGTGTTTGGAAAACACCGTTACTAGGGGACACCGCGTAGAGGTTTCTTCCTTGTCCCCCTTTGTGTGATTAAAACGTTGGCAATTTTGACATTGAGGAATGGAGTTATCAGTTTTTCTATTTTCTACCGTAATTATGCACTGAAAAAGACGATCTAATGAAAAAATATTTTTTTCTGATTTATTAAGGATAACAGCGACGATTGGAATTGGTGATTTATGACGGTTTTGTAGACGGGTTACAGACGTGACATTAAATTTTAGATCAGATAATTCCTCGAAGATTTCTGCTTCAGATATTGATGTTGGTAAATTTCTTATTATTATAGAAATATTTCTATCTTCCGGAAGTTGATATGTATGGTATTTAATATTGTTTTCGGAAAAATATTTAGTAACCGTACGAAAGTCGTCGACGGTAGATAGATTCAGTTTTAAAAATATATTTTTATTATGGAGGTTGAAATCTGCAGTTATAACTGGCGAGATTTTGTTTAGAAAAGCAATATAATCGTTGATTTCATAAATATATAACGGAGGAATTTTTTGTATTACCTTTTCGATGTCCATATCAATAATTTCTGTGTTGACGTCAACATCATCATTAAGATTAGAGAGTGGAGCATATCTATTTTTGTTGACATGCGGTGGAGAGAGGGCGACACTGCTGGAACGTTTGCGTTGTCCTGTGTTGGACCTGGTATTTGGCATGCTTGCGATGCACCATACAGTGGACTTTGTATTTACGCACGACAGTTAGATAAGCGAGCGATAGGTACAAATAAAACACGACTGGTTGCGATGAACGTCGCGCGGAGACTGAGCTAATTAGCAGGATGCGGCTAATTTGTTTTCTTTGTACTTTTCTTCCGTTCTCTCTGTAAATGATTTTGATCTCGATACTACCTCGTTAGGAATCATGTCATTTGACTTACCCAACAATGTAAATTTTACTGTGGATGATGTTTATAAGAAGTTATCTCATCTACATGGTAATTGGACTACTTGTCCTGATGGCTTATCCGGTGAATACTTATGTCAACTGAAAAAGCTTTCTCCCTATGGACTCTTTTTAAGCGTTCGCTTGACGAAGGAATCTTTCCTTCTATGTTAAAGTTCAGCTCAGTCACTCCTGTACATAAATCTGGGGAACAGTTCAATGTATCAAACTATCGTCCAATTTCCATCCAATCACATGTCTCCAAAATATTTGAATCACTAGTCATGCAATGTATTCAACCATCGATCAATAGTATACTTATGGAAAAACAGCATGGCTTTCACCCTGGTCGTTCCACCATTACCTGTAATTTAGTCTTTAGTAATTATGTATACCGATCGTTCGCTCAGAAATCACAGGTAGATGTTATTTACACTGATTTCAATAAGGCATTTGATTTAGTTCATCACAATGCCCTAGTTCAGGTCCTGAAAGCATCTGGAATTGGTGAACCTCTCTTGTCCTGGCTTTCATCTTACCTTTCTTTCCGCTATTACTGTTTGGAGTGAGGTCTAACGTTTATCTAGCAACATTTGGTGTTCCACAATGTGGATACCTATCTCCGCTCCTTTTCTCTTTATTTATCAATAGTGTGTCAAAAGTTCTATCCAACGGTCGTATTTTGTGTTTTGCAGATGATATTAAACTCTACTCTTGTGTATCCTCCTTAGATGACTGTATTTTGTTACAGATTCATTTTGATCGGTTCACTGAATGGTTCAATACTCTAGGCTTATCCCCTAATGTTTCTAAGTGTAAGACCATGACTTATACTAGAATTCGGTCCCCTGTCAAATATGCATATCATCTTGGGCCAACTGCTATCGCATGCTCTAATGGCAGTGTTACTAACCTAACCTGCTACAAAAGATTTTTGTTTTTGTGTCGCTGCCTCAGATTTGACGATCGCGAAACTAGAGCTGAAAGACGGGTGATTGATGAACTGGCTCCTATTCGTACTACGTTTGACCTTTTCTTGAAAAATATCAATCAGAATTATAATTTGAGTGAATATACTACTATTGACGAAATGTTACACCCATTTCGTGGTCGGTGTCAATGGATACAGTACATCCCAAGTAAACCGGCCAAATATGGCATCAAAATGTTTGCATTATGTGATGCAAAAACATTTTACACGAGTAAAATAGAGATTTATGTTGGAAAACAACCACCTGGTTCGTATGAGGTTTCTAATTCACCAATTGATATCGTGAAACGATTAGTAACACCCATCGAAAACTCTAATCGAAATCTTACCACTGACAACTGGTATACCAGTATTCCACTTGCAGATTACTTATTACAAAAAAAAATTACTCTAACTGGAACTTTGAAAAAAAACAAGCGAGAAATACCTACAGAATTTTTACCAGATAAAAAAAAAGAAGTTGGTTCGAGCGTGTTCGGGTTTCAAAAAAATAAAACATTAGTGTCATACGTACCACGAAAAAACAAGGCAGTTATTTTGCTTTCAACTATGCACCATGATTCAAAAATTGATGTAGAAACTCGTAAACCAGAAATAATTATGGATTATAATTGTACCAAAGGTGGAGTTGATACAGTAGATAAAATGTGTGCGGCATATTCTGTCTCTAGAATTACAAAAAGGTGGCCACTTGTAATTTTTTATTCTTTGATGAATATTGCTGGAATTAATGCTCAGGTACTGTTTTCATACTTTAAACATAACAATGCCCCTAAAATTAGAAGATTATTTTTGAAAACATTGGCATTTGATCTAATGAAGGAACATCTTGCTTCTCGAGCTCAAATCTCAAGTTTACCATCGGACATATCATCTTTTTTGAAAATAAAATATGCTGTCCCGAGTACATCAGATGTATCTACAACCCCCCGTTCAAAACGAGGAACTTGCTTCGAATGTGGGAGAAAAAAAAATGCGGCTACATCTATGAAGTGCACCAAGTGTATGCGATTTATATGTAAGCTACATTCAAAAAAAATTATTATTTGTGAAAAGTGTTCTAATAACGATGACAATGACAATTCTAAATAATTTCCTACTGTAAACAAATACTAAAAATAATTTTAATTTTTTATGTAATAATAATAAGACGTATTGATTTTTTAATAGAACATAATTATAATAGTATTTAAATAAAAACAACTTTGTGAACAGTTTCAATTGTTTATTTTATTATTAGATGTAATATGTACGACTATCACAGCATATTAGGACTGTTGTAAAATTTACAACGCGCGACCACTATTGTTTCAAATAATGGTGCGCCGACTGGAAGGTTAATAATAATAATAATAATAATGTATAAGAGTAAAATATTAAATACAATTTAAAATTAAGTTATTCTTGTATTTCAGGATCACTTATCAAAGAATTGACTGTTACATATTCTGTATCGTAAGTAATTTGAATTTTATAAAAAGCTCTGAATAAAAGTCTATATAGGTAAGCATTCAGTTGGATATTCTGCATTTAGAGCATGTATTACCTTAAAACAACAATCTACAGCAGATACCATAGAGTGTAACTCGTAAAAAGTATCATCTACGGCCACAAAGTATTGATTTATTTCACTAATTTTAGGACCCACTACAATTACCATTGGTTGTAATGTAAGACCGAGTTTGACATATTTCTCCTTTCTTCTGGTTATTGCTTCTTGTTACTCGGCTTGATAACGAATATGAAGAATTAAGCCACCTCGCATCTCAATTTTCGGTGGTCTTCAACAAACTGTAATCCCTTTTTTTCTTTTTGAACTAACTGGAGAAAACAAAAATGGTAATACCAATAATGCTGCCAATGAAGATGTTTCTTAGCTATCTAAAATAAAATAAAATATGTTTTGTTAATATCACAAATACATTTAATGCATTTGAAAATATTATACATATAAGCATAATAAATTCATATGCATAATATAATTAGAACAAAATATTATCAGATCAATAAATATAAAATAAGGTACCTGGGGCTAAATCTAAGGACTCTTTAATGATATCCTTGAGTGTGATATCTCTTAATGTAGTTGATGCTGTTTTAGCTAACTGTAATATTTTTGGTTTGTTAATCGGAAAATTTTCGAATAAGCTTTCTTTATTTTGTGGATAGATGTAACAGAAGTCTTTAAGCAACTGAAACATAAAAATATTATTATTTAAAAATTATTTGCACCTTCTAATAATTGATGTCCTATACAATAAACACAGTCATGTAAACCTTGTTTGTGAGCAATTTATATTAGTATAATATAATCAATAGTATTAATAACAGTTATAAAAAATTGTTGGTCAATTATTATTATTATTAGTTCTTTTTTATAACTTACAAGAGTTTAACCCGATGGAGTTTTTAGACATAGAAAATCTTTCATATACTCACTAACCGATCCTTTACTTTTTGCGCTTAGTTCTCCTTGAATTCTATATGATTCTGTAATATTCCAATAATCTTTAACTATGTACCAAGGATCTGAAGAGTTTTTCAGCCTAATATTTTTTCTTTCAATGACTATTTAAATTAGTTAAATTTTTATTATACACTGCTCCAAATATGATAAACATTTACTTAGAGACACAATACACACCTGCAGAATTTACATTTAAACCAAGTGGTAGCTTGCTTAACTGTCCACCGTTAGAACTCCTTGATGTAATTATTCCAGCTTTTTTATATTCTCTACGCCTCTTATTGAAACAGTCCAGTAATTTACCTTTTGCCGCCTTTTTTAAAGTTGGACCAAGACGAAAAAAATATTTCAATACAAATTCATTTCAAATTACTTTATTTTATGAATGTACCTACCATAACTTATGTAGGTGATAAAATAAGTACTTATATGTTCTTTAGTAAAAATTGTAATTATTTCTTCAGAAATGGACAAAAGGCGTTGGCAAGATATAATATTTTCAGGGTCATTATCAAGTTCTCTTCTAACTATTAAATTACAGAGTTTTCTTCTGCCTGAATTGTCCAATATACCACTATCCTTGTACAATGCTAAAAGAGCTCTACCTTCTACAGTACTTTGAAGAAAGTTTTGTAAATTTTGTAACTGAAACTATGAAATTAAAATAAATACTAACTACACATTCATAGCATACTTCTACATTCTAAAACTATAAATTACCGATTAAAAATTACAATTCGAAGTATAGGGCAATGGTGATGACTGATGACGGTGCTGATGTAGAAGATGATGATGATTCGGTTGTCGACAAAGTTCCTAATGTAGATACATTACTATTCAAATCAATGTAGTCTGGGCTATGGTTTCTTGCTGGTGAGATAATGTTGACTGATCATCAATATCAAACCCAGTTAATTCCTTTATTAATAAATAATAATAATAACTAATAATTATATATAGTTACATATTTATGAAAACAGCAATCCAGAAATAAGTGAGATGCAGTAGTTAAATGGTGTATTACATTTTAAGCAACAACAGGTACTAGGCATTATTACATAAAATATTTATTTTATTTATCATTCTGTATGATACAGATAAAAAGCAAAATTGTAACTAAAACACTGATTAATATAATTTTAAAGGCAACAATGTACATACAACTTGAATGCTGATAATTTTTGAAATTATGAGTGGTTTATGATAAGAGGATTTCTCTGTATTATAATGTAACTTAGTTGTGGATGACCAGTTAAATATAAAATATTCAGGGAAGATACCAGTTCCTATGAATATATTTTCACCGTAGCTCGGGGGCACAAAGGGTAATTGGGATCTTAATATTACAAATAAATAACGATTGGTCCAAATAATTATTAATATTAACCAATTTATTATTACTTACGATTTACGAACAAAGTTACCAAAAATGGGCGTTTTTACGGAGTTCAGGTGCACGTGCTGGTAATAGCGGAGAACTATCTTTCTCTTACATATCATCTACATTGGCCGTAGCCTTACAATAATAAAATATATACGTGGCACCTAAACTAGAGGGGCTTAATTTATTATAGTCAGCGCATAATATGCGTATTGTGCATATTACGACTATAAAATATACTGAATGATGTAATGTACGTTACATTACCCCCCTCCCTTTTTTTTGAAAATTTTAAGTGTACTATATACAAATTAAAAAAAAATTACAGTATAAATCATGTTTCATTTAAAGAACCTTTCTTTTCATTCACCCCTTCTTTTGTTTTTTAGAAAATATTATTTACGTTAGTTTTATTTAAATTGATTGAAATTGTATTTGGTTGCTGTCTGCATGACCACGGATTGGTGCACCAGTGTTGCCAGATGAAAATTAAATAAATCCCGAAATGTACGTTCGAAAATCCTCAGATTTACTTAAAAATCCTTAAAAAATTTTTTTAAGGCTGCGCTCGCTCATAATATAAGGGGCAAATCCAAACGATGGCACAAAACATGAACATCAACTTTTATTAAATCATCTTCAGTTAAAAAAAATTAACTGAAATTTAAAACCATTTATTAATTAATTAATAAACAAAATATATTTGATTAACAACATTTATTTGATTAAAAAAATGTAACATTAATATTCTGAACAATATTTAATAATATACATCTTTTTTTAATTATTGAATNGTGTGTTTGATAAGTTATAACAAATTTAAATAACAGTTCAACAAATTTAACAAAATATAAATAATAATTATATAAGTAATAAAAAATAATAGTCAAGAGTTAATTTTTGTACACCCTTTCTAACTGATAATGAAAAAGTGAATAGATTAAAAGTAAATTTTAAAAAAACATAAGGAACTTCTTTGAACCAAAGGTAATAATAAAACAATGTATAAACAATGAACCATAAATAACAAACAAGTTAAAGTGTGTTTGATAAGTTATAACAAATTTAAATAATAGTTCAACAAATTTAACAAAATATAAATAATAATTATATAAGTACAAAAAATAATAGTCAAGAGTTAATTTTTGTACACCCTTTTTAACTGATAAATGATAATGCAATGGTGAATAGATCAAAAGTAAATTTTAAAAAACATAAGGAACTTCTTTGAACCCATTATAATGAGAAAAACAATTTATAAATAATAAAACATAACATTAATTAAACAGAAGTATAAAATGTGATTAAACATATATAAATATAACAAATAAAAAATTTTTAAATAAGTGAATCACAACAAATTTTACAAAATATAAATTAGGTTAGTATTTAAGTCCGAGATCAATGTTTTCATCTTATTTATACATATCACTTTTGTGTTTTTTTAACATATTATTTGTGACACTAAAATCATAACAGGATTTTTGTTGATGATTTAAAATATTTTTGGAGTGTAATATACCTGACAATGTGCTAGTTGATAAACGGTTTCTTATCTTAGTTTTATTTAGATTAATTACACTGAATAGTCTTTCCACACAAGCACTACTATGGGGTAAAATTAAAATATATGCAACAAATTTGTTGATAAGAGGAAAAAATTCTAATCCATCACAGTTAGTGGTATCTCGAACACTTTTCCAAAACTTAGTAATGTCAACTTGTTCAAAATCAAAATCAAAATTTTTTAATTGACGCCACTCTCGATCAATATCATTTAGATTCAATTCTAAAATGTTTTCGAAATAATTAGCTGCCGGGGCAATGGACATGGTATTTTTTATTTCTTTAGGATTTAGAAATGATAAATATTTTAAGCACATAATTTGAGGGGAATGAAAAGGAAATCGTTGGAAAATTTGTTTTGAACATTCAACATAAAAATTTAAACAATTTGTAAAAAAGATTTTTTTCTCAGCACTTGATAATTTGCAATCTGTTTCAGATAAAAGAGCCATACACTTACCACCAACATAAATTTCATTATTTTTCAAAAAGTATTGTGGATTTCTATATTGAACTTTTTCCAAGTCAGTTTTTTCGAGATAATTTGATTGCATGTAACAGTCTAGTATGGTTTTATATGCTGATACCATTTTTGAGTATAAATGATAAATTTGCGGCTTTTCATGCTGGAACAACTTGTTAAGTGAAGTTGAAAATTGCTGGTTAGCTATTTTTAAAATTAAACTATCAAAACCAGTACATCCAATAACATTGGTGACAATAGCTGTGGCTTTTGTTCGGTTACATGACATTTTATTTATGACATTTGACTCTGGATTTAGTGATTTTATTAAACTTATTAAGTGATCGGAAGTTCGAAAGGCTATATTGTGTTCCGTTATAAACATTGCTACTTTAATTTCAGCCTCTTTTACTTTTTTATCGGTAGTAATATTATTACTTACTTGTTGCATTTGATTAATAGGTATGGTATTTGCTACAGATTTGGCATTACACACATGTTTGCCTGTTTTAGAATGTTTGGCAACTGCAGATAATCCACCAAGATAAGAATCGTTACAAAACATACAGTGAAAATATGTAGCTCCTTTTTTACTAGAACGTAACCATTTAGAATAATTTGGATTTTTTTTGCCAATCTACCCTGTAATTTTGTAAATATGGTTTCTTTTTAGGCCATCCTTTCGTACTACGTGTCGTTGAATCTTCATCATTTGATGACGCCATTCTAATATTCTGTAAAACAATAAAATTTAAATATTTATATGAACTATGTTCACACTTCAAACTACATATTATGCCGATTTGACATTAAATAGTATCTGTAATGTTACTTTCAACTTACTTCTAACATGTTAGGTCTATGATTTCAGTTACGACTTGACGACTTTGCGTTTGCTTTGCAGTTTGCACTTCGCAATTTGCCAGTTTGAAAATGATTAGTGAGATAACTGAATACTGATAAAGTAATAAGTGAAATATTTCAAATACTTATCATTTATATTCTTATCAGTATAACTACAATTATTTACCTAGGAAGATATTATAATATCATTGATTGTTTTATTCTGTGATAATATATCTACCTTGAAAATTACAAATTTTAACCATGTTTTATTCTATAAGAATCGTATTATTTTTTTTTTTTTGTGAAATACAGTTTTTTATAAATTATAACCTAAGGGAACTTAAATCTTCAGATATCCTCAAAAGTATAAAATCTTCAAATTTATACCTAAAGCAAGTCAAAATCTCCAGAAATAGGAAAAATCTCTAAATATGGCAACACTGTGGTGCACGCTGTACAGTTATGAACTCGGCGTCGTGAGAGGTCAAGATTGAACCACCATAATATGTCTTGGGTTCGAGGTCTATGGTTCGGTCGTAATCGCCTATATTTGTTAACTTTCTCATTCTTTTTTTTGTATGTAGGTGGTATCATCCCGTTTCGCCGACAAAAAAACCAGTTTTGTATGGATTGATAATAAATCCCATTAGGCCGAATCCTATTTTTCCTAATCCCATTTTGCCGAAAACCCCTGGTTTTTACTCATCAGAGCTTGAGTAAATATGTTATATTTATCATATATGTTACGCAGAGTAAAACCAAGTGCTTTGAATCACAAAACAATATTGTGCACATTTATAAAAGACGGTCGAATACGCTCGTAACGCCGGTTACGTTACGTATATACTTAAAATATTTGAGCCTCTATCGGCTCTATCTTATTTTTTATTATCGATACAATGATTATGATACGTACCGAACAATGTATATATATATATATATATATTAATATTATAATATATTCACAATTTCACATTCATATTTATTTTTTTAGTAAATATGCACTACAAGTTAAACACAACTTTATTCTCTTTACATGTGTTTCCTCCGCTTTTGAAGAAAATCGATAAATTATAAAAACGGGAAGGAAGCTATTTCAGGTGACATCGTCACGGAAACATCGTTCCGTAATCTTATCGCTGATAAAGTGACAATAATAATCTACAAATATTACACATATAATGGTGGGTTTACGCACAGTCACGATCTTTAGTTTGCAGTCCCCTTTTCCACTCGTGTCAAATAAGTTTTGTTTTTTAATAATTAATATGTCTTGGTATAAAATTAACTCAAACCGTGGACACCCGCTGTTAGTAGTGGATAATTATAAACACAGAATTGACAGATCTAATGAAAATAATGAATATTACAAATGTATCAACAACTGTGGAGGACGAGCAATATTAAGATCACAAACGACTGCAATAATATCTAAAACTCATAATCACTCAAAGCATGGAGCTGAATTGGCGCGACGTGGATTTCGAGAAACTCTAAAGGTAAAAGAAATCTTAAATTTGCTTATACTATAGTATGTATATGATTTATTATAATGTATATGATATATATAATTTAATATATTACGTATAACTAAAATTGTTAATATTATATGATGAATAAATAATTTATGAAGTTATATACAGTGGTCACCGCTTATTATAATCACGGTTAATGTTATCAAACTTTTATTGTTATCGAAAAGTATAAGTAAGGGCTGGATGTATACTTATATGTGTAAATTATGTCGATTATAATTGTAATCAATACGCCGCATAATATTATCAGTTTGAGGTCATAAAATCATCATTATGTAGTTATTAGATAAAGAAAATAATGTCCGAGTTTTCGTCGAATAGCTCATAATAAAGATAAAAATGGCTATACACATTGATATCACTTTTGTTCTTACACCATTCAGACAGTACCGTCGCTGCCCGTCGACCAGTATCGTTTGTATGCATCCGTGTCGCGTGTGCTTAAAAATGAGTGAAAAAAGAAAAAGAAATGACCTAACAATTTATGATAAATTGTCAATATTATAAAGTTACGACAATTTACCAAAAATGGGACAGCGAGAAGCAGCTATAAAGCTACAAATTTCCCAACCGTTATTGTGTAAATTATTAAAAAAACGAGTTGAAATAGAAAATTCAGCAACACTTAATAAAAATCCAAACATAAAGAGGATACGCAGTGGGAAAGAAGAACAGGTTGAATCAGCATTATTATTATGGTTTATTAATGTTAGAAAAAATGATGCACGCATTAATGGTCCAATATTGCGTCAAAAAGCTGAAGAACTTGCAAAAAAAATGGGTATAGAAAATTTTATTGCCTCAGAAGGATGGTTTTATCGCTGGAAGAAACGAGAAAATATTGTTTACAAACGAACGTACGGAGAACAAAAAGACGCAGATTTCTCGGCAGCAGAAAATTGGTTAAAAACTGAATGGCCAAAAATTATTTCAGAATATACGCCCGACAATGTTTATAATGCTGATGAAACCGGGTTATTTTATCGTGCCTTGCCTGAGCATTCTTACTTATTAAAAAATGAAAACGCAAAAGGCTGTAAGATATCAATAGAGCGCATCACTGTCCTATGTTGTGCGAGTATGTCAGGTAAAAAACAAAAACTTTTGGCAATAGGGAAAAGTAAAAATCCTCGTTGTTTTAAATCTGTAAAATGTTTACCAGTTGATTATTACGCCAACATAAATGCTTGGATGACATCAGTTATTTTTAACGAATGGTTAATAAAGTGGGATAAATAATTAAATAATAATACCGTTTTACTTATTGACAACTGTCCTGCACACGTGGTTAGTGTATCTTTAAAACACATTAGAATCATATTTTTGCCAGCAAATACAACATCATTAATACAACCATGTGACCAAGGAATAATAAAAACCTTAAAATCATATTATCGCAAACAAATGCGGACAAGAATAATAGACAATATTGAAAATACAAATGACCAAGAAAAATTGTTCGCTAATGAATTAGTAAAACAAACCAACCTCTTAGATGCATTACATCTTATAACAATGGCTTGGGACCAAGTGACAGATAAAACAATACGAAATTGTTTTCAACACGGAGGTTTTGCAGAAAGTGTCGAAGAGGAGGAAGAAGAAGAATATGAAGAAGTAGACTTAGATTTTAAAAATTGGTTGAAAATCAATGAAAATATACCTACTACATCAAATTTTACTGAAGAAGATATTGTACATGCTTTATCACAAACAAATGAACCTGGAGAAATCGAAAATGAAGAAACAGATACTGAAAAACCTCCAAGTTCTTCGGAAATGAGAGAGGCTCTACGAGTATTACGAAGGGGAGTGCAACAACATTCATCAAATTTTGAATTACAATACAAATACGAACATTTTATCAATGATCTTTTAACGGTAAAAAAAAATATTGTTCAAGTTAATGGTAGTACCTACATATATTTATTTACATTTTATTTTTATTTTTTTATTTTTTATTACCAATTTATACCTACATATGTACTTTAATTAGAAATAAATAATAATAAATAAAATAATTATACTTTTAATAACTATGTGTTAAGAATAATGATCATAAAATTTGATGCAACACTAAATGTTATTTTTTTCGTTTAGTGTTATCAATCGGATTATGTTATCAGTTATGTCCCGTACCAAAGTGATTACATTAAGCGGTGACGACTGTAGTTATAAAGTTATATATAGATAGTTATGGATATTATATAATATTTAATTTTCAAAATATTTCAAATATTTAAACTATAGCCGGGATATTCAACTAGTTATTATATGTTTAGGAAAGAGTGGTTTCAAATCCAACAATATCTGTACCTCAGAGTTTCCACGATGTGAGGCGATCCGTTGTTTCTTCAGGAATAAAGGGTTGTACTTTATCGGAGGTAGAAGATGCTGTTCCTGTCTATACTAGTATCCGATCCTCAGCATACAGAAAGCGAATGAAATTGGTTCCAACATTACCTACAAAGTTGTCGGAACTTTTTATTGAGAACGAATGGAGATCAACGAATGACAGAAGTGATTTTTTATTAGGTAACTATTTTTTTATGACAACACGTGGCACGCTGTTGAAGTAATGCGCAATCAGTTAATAATATACACACCATTAATCACTAAATTTATAGGATGTGATGGTGATGACGACAAAATTGTTATATTTGGGACGGAACTACGGAAGGATTTTTAAGAAGACCGTGCAGTAGTGAACTTATTTTTATGGATGGGACATTTAAATCAGCACCTCAGTTATTTACCCAAATTTATACATTGCCAGTTATGTCGTAGGAATAATGATACCATTGGTCATTATAAAAGTAAATTAATATGATATTTTAGTAAATAATAATTATTATATTTAAGTTAATTTTAAGGCGTATGCATTGCTATCGAACAGAAGTACAGCAACTTATTCGAGAATGTTTAAGGTAATAAAAGAAGCAGCTCTAAGAAATGGATTTGTATTTAATAATATGATAATAATATTTTCTTTATTTCGGAAATAAATTCCAATTACAGTTTTTTTTTTTTTTCTATAATATTATATTATCTAAGTACATTTTCGGTGATTTATAAATAACAATAATAATAATATAAATAATAAGAATAATAATAGTAATAATAATAATAATAATAAAAGAAGAAATAGGTATTATTTAGTATTAATATCATACGTTATAATATTTAAATTTATAAAATAAAAAACAAGATGAAATAAAAACGAGATATTTATTATGCTTCTATTGGACCACTATAGTAGGTACCTAATTTGTTATGTATTTCTTAGAACATTTGACATAAAAGTATTTAGAGAATTATCAAAAAAATCAATATTTTTTATTGAGTAACCTGCGGACATTAAAATATTGGATGGAGAATTTCGCACATAATTGTTAGTTGAATGTTCTGTGTAGTGAGGATCGGTAGTATAAAAACTTTAATTTAATTTGTAAAAAACGTTGTTCTAACGACTGTATATTAAAAAAAAAAAAAAGCTTTTAGCCCAAATACATTTCAAATTGATTTTGAAATTAGTATGATTGTTTCTATTAGAGAAACTTTTGGCTATGAAACATCTATATAAGGATGTTTATTCGACTTGGGTCAAGCGGAAGGTTTAATATTTAGGGCTTATTCATGCTTTGCACTACCCGTATTCTATTGACATTTTGTTTACGTCTATCCCGTCCGTAACGTCTACAACGGTTAATCTAAATTAAGAATTATTGATAAAATGTACGAACGTGTACCACTGTACTGCACTACTGCAATCCGCAATAAATAATAATATTCGAATATTGTTAATATAGATTAATCACTTTTATAACATTATCAATTATGTTGTAACTTGTAGGTTGTAACATTTTATGATTTGCACTTATCCTGTTAGCGACAAATGACAATACATGCTCATAAGTCATAACGAACCTTACCTTTTATTTATTAAATATTTTTAGTTTTTGCACCAATTTTTATTGACACCCAGTTAGTTTAACCCACCCACCCACCTGATAACCTATAGGGGCCGCGGCCCCTGGAAAACCCCCTCACCACGCCACTGGGTCCTAGGTACAAGAAACAATGTTACCACGACGCAATGTCCTTTGTGCGCAAGTACGGAAAGCCTGACTTATTCATAACATTTACGTGTAAGCCTAGGTGGCCAGGGATAGTAAATAACATACCGTGTTGGTTAAATGCAATTTTGTTTTATAATACATTTACATTTTATTATTGGGTTTTATTTTGTTAGGTATTTTCAAAAACAAGAAATACTATGCAACAATTATTATAATAATATGCAATGTTTATTGAAAAAAAATATAATATAAGTATAAGGTAGGAAAAGTTGGTAAGCAGGTGTGTGGGTGTGTACAATTTAGGATGCTTATGAGTTTTTTTAGGTTAGTTTCGCCAGTGAAACGATATGTGTTATTTATCAGTCAGTTAGCACACCCATAATGAGACAATAATCAACACATACTTTTGTTTAATTAAATTAATAATTAATACTAAAACATAATATATTAATTGATATTCAGAGCTATTATTTTTACACGAGTGGTATGTCTACGTTTAGTCATACTGACAGTACAGCTGTAACTGAGTTGAACGCACAAAAAACAATTCTAAATTCAATCTCATATCGTGTAAACTTATCTAATTACATTTATTATTCGTTGACAGACCTATTTTCTTCAAATAAACTGTTTATTTTTATTTAATAAGTTAAACTGACATTAACTAAACGTTGCTAGGCGCACACACATTTCTGTTGTTTGAATTTACTCAGAGATAGTACATAATAAATACTGTTACATTTTTATTAGAGACTAACTCATGTCCAGACTCCAAGATAATATTATTGATTTGAGAATTATTGAACATAAATATTATACTGGATTTTATTTTAATGAGCAACGTTCAACTGTTTTTAAATAGATCAATGTTTGCTCTGTTATGTAGTACATTAATACTATAAATACAATACAACAAGAGTAATACAATATTCACATAATAATATAGATAACTACTCTTTAACTATATTTCACAGTTTCTTTATATTGTGTCCATGTGTAATTCACATTAGTCCACACCATGTCCATATTAGTATAATTTTTAATAAGATAAATCAGAAATTGCAGTATATTCGCATAATGTATGCTACTGACATGTCTATGATAACCTTTATTAATTAGATGCGATGTTAATTGACACATCACGACCCCAATATGAATTAACTTTAAATAAAATATATTCAAACAGTGTATACCTAATGCAATAAAAAATATATTTAATTAATGATGGAAATTGAATTATACACTGGATAGTAAGGAAATGCGATTTACGGTTTAATTACACACAACTCTTATGAATTTAATCGGTTAAGCAATGTTTAGTGCAATATTTGTTATAGTGAAAAAACAGTGTAAGTGTGGTAGATTTGACATCTATGAGTATCTCCAATCGTAGGTAGGTAGGTTTAGGCGTTAGGTCATAAGTCCAGGGGTTGTATGTTTCGATGCGGCGGCATTGACGAATTGCGGCGGCCCGTGAAATTTTACCGACCTCAACGTGACGGACGAAGAGACTAGACAGTACCTTTACCAAGAGATACCGGTACAATACACTTGGCACGCGTCTAGGAGAACGTGGACACGACGTCGAAGACAGATGACGTACGAGACGTTGGCTCGAACGTACATTGTCAACCCACTTGATCGCGATCGTTTCTACCCATGATTGCTACTCTTACACAAGAGGGGCTCACAGGGACATGAGGAAAGTAGACGGGGTAGAGCATCCAACATACGCGGCGAGCTATGTTGGCGTGCATGGCCGAATCAGCAACATTGGACACACCAGTCCAGCGTCTTTACCTTTTTGTGACGATGCTTTTGCACTGCGAGATCACAAACCCACTGGCGTTGTATCAAGCCAGCGAACCTCACATGTTGCAGGACTTCAGTCACCGATTGAGAGACATTGACCGCGCGAGGGCCGCGTGTTTGGATGCAATCAACAGGATGCTTCGTGGTCACGGGAAATCGCTTGCAGACTACGGTTTGCCACTACCGGACGTCACATTGCTGGAAAAAGACCCGAACGATGACATGTTTGGTGCTATAGACGCGGCGGTGCGCTGGGCCGTACAATTGAACAATTTGAACGACGAACAACGGACAGTGTTCAATTGTGTGATGGCGGCCGTAGACGACAACATAAACGTATCAAAACTTTTCTATATTGACGGTCCCGGAGGAACAGGTAAAACAACACTATACGGGTGCCTCATATGGTCGCTTCGCAACCAAGTCGATCTGTGGCTTTTACAGGAATAGCAGCATCGCTCATGGACGGCGGCATGACAGTGCACTCGACATCGACCATCACCTTGCAGTAGTTGCGTGCTCAGAGGATACGTGACGCAGCACTCATCGTCTGGGACGAAGCGCCCATGTCTCCGGGACTACAACTCACAGTGGTCAATAGGTTGCTCCAGGACACCATGAGTTCAAAATTACCGTTCGGCGGTAAACCGGTACTGTTCGTTGGTGACTTCAGGGAAATTCTACCTGTCGTGCGCAGGGGAACAAGGAGTGACATCGCCAGGTCATCTATCAAATACAACTCTTTGTGGCGCAACCTGGAACAGTTCACTTTGACGCGGAATAAGCGCGCCGATAACGACGCTGACTTGCAACATGGTTGCTTCAGCTCGGGAGCGGCCAATGGCCAGCGGTCGACGGTGTTCAAAACACCGTTGAAATACCCCGGGAAATGGTATAAGTGGTCACTAAATTGGTTGATTTGGTTTTTCCGCAGCGAATGACGTTGGCTAATGTCAACGAGTTTGCTCGAAAAATAATTTTTGTCCCAGGAACAACAAATGCAGGCAGATCAATAATACGGTGTTACAACGCATTGATGGAGTTCACCGAACCTACACGGCCATAGACACTGTGATGGTCGACGACCCCGACAAAGTGGCCAATTATCCGACAGAGTCTCTCAATACTCTGGAACCAGACGGACTGCCGCCGTATAACTTGACGCTGAAGGTCGGTTCTGTTGTCATGTTGCTTAGGAACCTAGATTCTAAGAGATGTCTTTGCAATGGTACACGGTTGGTTGTTCCTGAACTGCGACGATGCAATTTCAAAGCGAGGATGTTGTCTGGGGTGCACAGGAAGATATAGTCATACCTGCTCTGCCCTGCTACCAATAACTGCATTAACTCCAAAAAGTGAAATGTTGGGAAATCGTGTTTAAAGGTTTTTTTAATTTTTGACCCAGAAGTTATTATGTTTCAATGATTTTTTCTATAAATCATTTTTAATACAGGGTGCGGCGTAATGGACTCCCATATTTCAAATAATCATTAGTGCGTAATTAAACTGATTAGATTAAAGTGGTTTATTTCGCTAGATTAGATTATTAATAAGGTTTTTAGTCGTCACCATGCCGTGGTCTGGTGAACAACGTGGTTTCGTTATTGAGGCATTTTTCAAAAACGCTGAATGTGTGATTGCGACACAGAGAGCATTTCGCACTCGGTTCAGTTTGAATCCAAACGAAAGTGTCCCTGATCGGAAAACTATTTTGAATTGGGTACAAAATTTAAGAGCAACGGGATCTGCAATGCCTAAAAAACCGGTTGGACGTCCCAAGTCCGTGAGAACACCGGAAACCATTGCCGCAGTAAGAATATCGATAGAGCAGTCTCCATCACGTTCTGCTCTCGGGATATCGGATCGAACGGTAAGGCGAATTTTGCACTGTGATCTTAAATTACACCCATATAAGATTATGGTAACTCAGGAATTAAGTCCAACAGATTGGGGAAAACGAAAAGATTGCTGTAATGCAATCCTCACAGTTGTGCCTCCCAACGGTATTGTGTGGAGTAGCGACGAAGCACATTTCCACATTTCTGGCACAGTGAACAAACAAAATTTTCGTTATTGGGCTGCTGAAAACCCTCTAAAAATACACCAACGACCTCTTCATAGTCCTAAAGTAACAGTTTGGTGTGCTTTGTCCTCGGTAGGTATCGTGGGGCCTTATTTTTTTGAAGAGGGTGGTTTTACAGTTACTGTGACTTCCAACCGGTACTGTGAGATGTTGGAGAACTTTTTACGCCCGAAAATCGAAGAGTACGAAAATAATGATGTCTTCTGGTTTCAACAGGATGGGGCCACAGCTCATACAGCCCGTTGTTCTTTTGTTGTATTGCAAAAAATGTTTCCTGGTCGCTTGATCTCCTTAAGGGAAAACATTACATGGCCTCCTCGCTTCCCTGATTTGAGCCCATGTGATTATTTCTTATGGGGATACCTCAAAGCTGAAGTTTTCAAACATCGACCAAGAACCATTGAAGAACTAAAAGAGGCCATCCGTCAAGAAATCTCCGTGATTCCACTCGATATGCTGGCGAAAGTGATGGAAAACTTTCGAGAACGGCTCTATATGTGCGCTGCTCGTCAAGGCAATCATTTAGACCAGCGTTTCCCAAACTTTTTCTCTGCCGGACCCCCTTAGAGAAAATAAAAAAGATCGCGGACCCCTAAATAAAAATTTTAATTAAAGCATTAATAAATAATAATACTAAATTGTTTGCTTTATTTTTAAAATTAAATACACATATGTTTATAATGAAAAATTGAATTAATAAAAAAAAATGGATAAATAGATATATTATTTTTATAATAAATAATTAATGCGTTTAATGTGATGGATGGTGTTGTTTCTTTAATACTAAATCTGGTATTTTAGGATCTATATTAGAAAGTTGAATACGTAAATCTGATTCTATATTTAATCGATTTCTATATTTATTTTTTGTGTACACATTAGCTGAAAATCCTTTTTCACAGAGATAAGTTGTTGAAAAAAGCATCAATGGCCTTATTGCTGAGTCCGATATTTCTGGATAGTCTTGTCTTATACTCAACCAAAAAGAAGACAAAGAAGATTCTTTGAAAACTCTTTTTAAATTAGAATTACTGGATATTTCGATTAATTGATTTTCTTGTGTTGTTGTTAAACCAGTTATATCAGGGACATCTGCATTAAAAGGGTCTACTATCCAATTTTTATTTTTGTCAGGAACTGGAAAATATTTTCGAAATGAATGTTTCAAAATTTGGAGGTGTTCAATAATTATATCTTTTGTGTCCTGAGGAAAAACTTCATCGGATGATTCTATAAATGCATAAAGAGTTGGAAAGTGGTTAAAATTGTTTTGAAGGGCACGTTTTCTCCATAACTCAAGTTTTTTTAACATAGCTTCAATGTTATCCTCCGTGTGAAAAATATTGTCTTCTTTCCCTTGTAAACTAATATTTAATGAGTTCAGAGAATTAAAAATATCAGCCAAATAGGCCACTGTACAGAGCCATTCAAAATTATTGAAAAGATTTGCATATTTAGTAACTAATCTTAATTGCTTTTCAACGATAACTATTTCAACAATGTATTTATTATCAACAGTATTTCCCATGTAATACGAATATTGCATCATTATTTTCGTTTTATGGATAGGTATACTTTGTAAATTTTTAATTTACGTTCGCGGACCCCCTCCGGTATACGTGCGGACCCCTAGGGGTCCGCGGACCACAGTTTGGGAAACGCTGATTTAGACGATATAATTTTTAAAAACTAATTTAAAAAAAACCTTATATAATATAGTTTTTAAAAATAAAAATTTTTTTTCTTTACCTTGTATCGTTTTTTTTAATTCACTTCGGAAATGTGGGAGTCCATTATGCCGCACCCTGTAGATGTTCAAGTTATTTGTTGATATATTTTTTTGTACTTTATTCATTTTTTGTATGTTTTTTACCACTTTTAAACATATTATAGGAGTTACTGCATTTTTACTTAGGAAATAACCCACATTAAATTTACAAAATGCAGTAAATCCATTCCTATGATTCTTAATTTTTATATTATGTGCACTCTGCAGCAGCCTTCTACTGAAACATTAAGTTAAACTAAAATATAAAGTTGATTAAGTAAATCTTTTCCCAATAAAAAAAAGCCTATTAAATATATTTATACAATTAATTAATCACCCAAGTACAAGAAATATAAATACTAAAATATCATAATTATACCTAAAAAAAGTATATTATTGATTGATTTGTAAATATATTAGATAAAAACATTAATTATACTGCGGCCATCGAGAGACCGCTACTGGGCGGCGACCAAAACTCGTCCGATCTCGCGCATTCCCACCACTAAATCTGCCCGTCGCCGTTCAGGAAACCGGCATACAAACCATCGGTTTTGCGTAGGGCGGGGTACAGTTATCCCAATCGTGATAAGGAATATGTTTTGTTACCAACGTCAAATATTGAAAAAAATTCTGACTGGGAATTTAATTTGGCTCATGGTGATATACTGTACGGAACCTAGTCCGTTCTCTATATATTTATATCCATTGTAAGTTTATAAATAGCGAATAGGTACTTTTAAATTATAACATAAATAATATTTATTTTATGATAATATTAGAACGGTATGGGAAGGGGTCAGTATAGTGGGGTATATCAACACAACCGTGCTTATTATAATAATTATTATAATCTTAGACCGTGCTTTTATATAAATCAGTTAATCAGATGACCGAAATAACTAAATATATTTTCCAAGTTGCGGTAACGACTAACGAGTTATTAATTATTACTTATTTCTTATTTGAGTACACAGTGACTATATTGAAACTTTTCATAATGCACGGTCGATACAAATCAGGTAATTTATTTATAATATAATAATATGTTAATAATATTACAATAAATAAAGTATTCGATAAATGTTTTGATCTTGGGTAAAATGTTACAAACTACATACTTAGGTAGAGCATGGCTAAGTATGTTTTTTTTCACGTATAATTGATTTAAATTTGGTTACTAGGTATTTGAATATTTTATTATTCAAAATTTCAAATATATAATATCATACAGTATTTTCATATTATGTATACCTACTAATTTTATAACACAATTTTAAATAAGACCTTTTTATTTGATATTAAATAAAATATTTATAAAATTATTATAATTAACAAATAACAGTCTAAAATCTTTATTCATGTTAAGATTTCCATTTAAAACATAATATAATAGCAGGTATATTATAAAATGTAAATTACACTTTTATACACAATACACATATCATTGTAAAATCAATACATTCATCGTCCTCATTAGAATCTAAAATTGTTAATCAATCAATAGGAAATTTAAAAAAAATAAAATAGTTATTTGTTTTTATTTGTGGCACAAACAAACTGGTTTTCAAGCAGGCGATTTATACTTAAATGTTGTAAAATATTATCAAAATTCATATCTTTCATGAAATGGACCAATCTGTCCTTGAACATATCCATCATTATGATGGCCTGCCCTCCTGAGGAACATTAGTATATCCCCATCAACATTCAACGTTTGTATTTGTTGACGAATTTCTTGCGTTTTTATAAACCTTGAAGTGGTATCTCTAATCTGTAAATTTTATATATTTTCTTGTTTATGAATCATTCTTGTTTTATAAGAATTTCAATTCAAATCATAAATTAAACTATACCTATTCAATGATTTGCCTAGGATTGTTAATACTTATTGGTTATAACTAGGGCCCGGAAGTTCATGCATTTGCATGTTTTTAATGAGTGCATAAAAAAGTTGCTGTATGAGCTACAAATTTGAATCACAACCTGATGAGTTCAAAAATGATATTTTAGTTTGCATATTTTCGCATATTTTGAGGTTTTTTACAATATAATATGCATATTTAAAAAAAAATTGCATTTTACTGCATTTTATTGCATTTTACCTTTGATATATATTTTTTTTTCATTAATATTTTATAGAAATTTCGGTCTTTGAGTGTAAAAACCTGTTTAAAATTATACAGGTCATACTTAAATAATTTAATATTATGTAATTTCTAGGGCCCGGAAGTCCATGCGATAATTCATGATAGGCGATAGCCGATAAGCCAGTTATACTTCTAGCTAAATAGTATTAAAACGATAAACGGCAATTGTTATATTCTCGAATATCAAGTATTAATAAAATGGTTTAATGACTGTCGCGATTATCGGAATAGCACGATACAAGAATGTATAGTGAAGAGTCCAAGCACAAGGTTTAGTCGTGTGCGATCGTCCTATAGTGTTGTACTGTTGTTTTTGTTTTACATCGGTTTCCATTAATCTTAAAATTCCAAAAGTCGGAACGAATCGAATTTGTAGTTATGTGGCCGAGTTTGGTGAAAATATATTTGCATCCGATGGAGGTGTTTTATTTTGTAAAATGTGCGAAATAAAGGTGAACAGTGACAAACGTTTTTGCGTAACTCAGCATATAAAAACTGAGAAACATGCCCGAGCTGTTAATCGCAAAGCTAAAAAAAATAGTTTAACGCAACCTTTTATTACGACACCATCATCACGAAAATCTGATTTTAACAAAGATTTATGCAAAGCATTGTTAAAATCAAATATTCCATTGGAAAAACTAAGCAACACACATTTTCGATCGTTTCTAGAAAAATATGTGGATAAGGACATTCCTTCCGTATCTACGCTAAGAAAAACCTACGTCGAAGATTGCTACCAAGAAACGATGGATGAGATAAGAAATGAGGTGAAAAATAAAAAGATTTGGGTGTCGATTGATGAGACGACAGATTCAGAAGGGCGATATGTTGCGAATGTTATAATTGGCACGTTACCAGTAGATGAACCTGGTAATCATTTTTTACTTGCCTCTGAAGTTCTGGAAAAAGCAAACCATACAACAATTAGCAAGCTTTTCGACAAAGCACTTTTTTCATTATGGCCGAAAGGAATACAACATGACGACGTTATTTTGTTTGTTAGCGATGCAGCACCGTATATGTTGAAAGCTGCAAAATCCATACAGGCCTTTTACTCCAAAATGATACATGTAACCTGTCTGGCCCACGGTTTACACCGAGTATGTGAGAAAATTCGAGCAGAATTCCCTAAAGTCGATGAACTTATATCCAACATGAAAAAAGTATTTTTGAAAGCACCAGCTCGCATCGAATTATTTCGACGAGAAGCCCCTGATACGCCATTGCCACCTTCACCAATTATAACGCGCTGGGGTACCTGGTTGAAAGCGGCTATGTATTATTGTGAGCATTTTAAAACTATAAAAAAAGTTGTTAATATGCTTGATGCTGATGATGCCTTGGCAATTGAAAAATTAAAACAAATAATATGTGATAAAAATGTTCAATCAAATTTAATTTTTATTCACACAAATTATGGTTTCTTAATATCAGCCATTAACAGTTTAGAAGCTCGAGGAACACCCTTAGTTGAAGAAATTCAAATTGTAGATAATGTCATAAAAAAATTAAAAGAAATTAAAGTTCCAAAAGGCGTTATAATTTACAATAAATTGGAACAAGTTATTAAGAAAAATGAGGGGTTTAAGATACTGTCAACCATTTCAAAAGTCATGTCAGGAGAAGAAACAACAACAGATGGCCTTCCAGAGGATCTTCAAATTTCAGATTTCATACATTTCAAGTATGCTCCAATTTCTTCTGTTGATGTAGAACGGAGCTTTTCTCTTTACAAAAATATGTTGGCTGATAATCGCCGTTCATTTGTATTTGAAAACCTGTCAAAGTCACTGGTTGTAAATTGTAATTCCTAAAGTAAATATAACATAATATACCATATTAATTAATAAATACATTTTGCTTGTTTTTTTCCCATATTTTAATTATTTTTTTTTTTACCAAAAACGAAAATAACTTGAGTTTTTTTTTTGTAAATGCATATTTAGCGCATATTTTATAGATTCTAAGCGCATATTTGCATGCATATTTTGATAGTTTTTTGTGCATGAACTTCCGGGCCCTA